CGACCAGTGTATGAAATATTCTTATTCAGTTAGAAGAAAAAGCTAGAAAACACTATATTTTCCCTATGTAAAGCGCCGCTAGTTCGAAAATCAAGTAGAAAAGCTTTTGATTTTTTCAGCACATACTCTGATTCGTCGGACGCCGCTGATCACTAATCTGACCCTATTTTTTCGATTTAACCGAGTTTACATGCAGAAAATCTGAAAATACTGTGAAGGCGTCAAAAACCTCGAAAAACCGATTTTTCAGAAAATCAGAGTGTATACTATACTCATACGCTTTGGTTGGAAATACAGAGCATACTCGAACGCTCAGCGGATAAATTCTGATTGATGAAGATGTGGTTGTACAAAGTTGAGCCAACCAGATAAAATTTAGAAACTTAAATTTGCCACACTTTCTGTTTCACACTCAAGCTTGAGAAGTACTTTCTTCGTGGTGAAAAATTGAAAACTAACTTTAAAAAAGTGGTTTTCGCCGGTTTTTACTATGAAGAAGATATTTCCCAAACTTGAGTCTAGCAGATGAACTGTGGCAAACTAAATTCCCACAATTTGTGAAAATGATAATTACTGTTTCTCAACGAGGCAGATAACGAGATACATCTAGAAATTACAGTGTAGTGGAAAGAAAATTGCTCGCACTTTCTCTTTTTCTTTCTGTTCTCTATGTTTTTATAAAAAATCAGGCACTTCATCTAAATGGTCAGTCACATGTTGGCAAACACTCAGCCTCAGTCACATCGACCATCATTCTCAGTCGTGGCTAAAACTTGTTCATCTTTGATTTTTACATTCGGGATGCTTTTCTGAGACCATACTTAAGCACCCAGAAGAGTTTTCTGCAGAAAAATATCTCGATACTGCTCCGAGTCAAAAGTGAAGCTAGTGCGAGCATGGAGACAACCATTTGTAATAAACCAGATAATGAAGACTCAGTCTCTTCGCCAACTGTATGTCAAATAAGAGAGTGGAAGTAGATTTAGAAATAAACAAACTTCAAATTTCTTCTTAAAATTGCAGAAAATACCAGTTGTTTGAACGCTACACAAATCTGCTCAAAACCCCCGCAAAGGATACAGATACAGATTCGAGCGTTGAATCTGTTCTCAGCTGTCGCAGTATATGCGTACTTTAGTAATCGATCTTTCGTGAACATTTTTCGTCGAAAAGAAACAGAATAGAGAAAAAACGGCTAGTCTCGAGTGTTAAAATCGTCTTTCAAGTTTGATAATTTCGGAAAACAATTCTATCATTTATTGGTTGCACCGGCCGATAAACTTTTCGCATGACATTGTCGCGAAGAAGATTTAAACTTTCTTCTTTGATTGGAATTTCACTTGAGAATATTGTCCATATGATACCCTCCGTGCACGGGGGCGTTGTCAAACTGCCCATGTAACGAAAAAATTGTCTGCTATCAGTTTGCATAAGATGATTTAAATTGAACGTGCAGTTGGCGGTGTCATTTATTTTAATCAACTGACTTGCGACATCGGTATACTTTTTCCATTCAGTATTTTCGTTCTTCGATTGGCCAGCAATAGTGAAGAAAAATGCGAATACTGCTACTTGATCTGTTTCATAATTCCTATGAACGAAATGTGCTTCGGCTGGAAAAGTTTTCCCGTCAATTTCATGTTCAGATCCGTGCCTATCATTTTTACCCCAGTGCAAATGAAAATTAACGAAATGGAATGTTCCTGTTAGACCGCCGCCGGTAAACGATAGATCTGTATGATTTTGTTTGCCAGTGCTTTCAGTCAGTGTGACGGCAACTTGATGACCATTATTCGTCAGCGTAAACAAGACTCCATCCGTGTAGTATTTGGGAGAAAATACAAATTGTGAATACGACTGGGCGACGGTTTTGTGCGGCTTGATATCAATCGGCGATTGGCACAAACCGCCGGCAGCCGGAAAGTGTTTGGGCCATTTCGATGGATGGTCATAGTTCCAGTGGTCATCACATTTACCAGTACAAGGCATGTTGATAACAACCTTTTATTGCAGTAGACGAGCAAAGTTTATGGAAAATCTATGTGTAGTAACAATAGAGAACAGCAGACGTTATAATACTGTACATTTCCTTCACCCAGCAGTCGTTACTTGATCTTTTGGTATCGTCCTATACACTGGAGCATATGCGTCTGTTCATAATGAAGAAGGAGAAATGGAAAAGTACATTGTTCTCCTCTTCTCGCCTCCGTGACCTTGCTTTTGTAGCTTGCTGCTGCAATGACGACCTCAGATAAAGGTAAATAATATAGCGTGACAATGACTCAATCTCTATGATGAAACTCAGAGAATGATGGAAAAATTTTACTTTTTAGATTAATTTTATTCTTTTGTATATATCAACTTGTATACAATCTCTCCCTTTATCGTTTACCTTTCTCGGACGAGTGCGAAAATAAGGTCACAGGGGGTGAAACGTGCTTTTTTCATTTCTCCTTCTTCATTATGAATAGACGCACATACCCACGGGATATAGGATAAGACCAGGACGGCAAGTAACGGCTTGTAGATGAAGGAAATGTGCAGTATTTAATAGGGTATATCTTGGTTTTCTGAAGTAGTTCTGTAATATCGAAAGTAGGATTTCAGGCTGTTTTCACTTAGCTATGAAAAAGTCATAACTCACTAAAAATCTATCAGTATGCTCTGACAATTGCACGATGTACCGTACTCCAGAAAAGTAGCGACAGCGCTGTAGCTCAAGAATCATGATAGCTAGGAATTTCTAATCGTTTGTGATCATAGCGCTTACCAAATGTTGATCACTCACCAACTTTGGGCCTCGTTTATGGGAGGGTTCGTAACATATAAGCGATTTATTCCTTTGGCGTGAAATATGAATAGCTCAAGACCAAAGAGAGATGAAAACGTTTTCTTTTTACTAAAATGTGGCTAGCACTCTACTCTATCTACGACGTGAATTTAATAAGTTGGCTGTTAGTAGTTAGTGAAATACAGCTATTGGACTCGAGGAGCGCTCTTTTTTTGTTAAAAATTCAAGATCCACTGCGGAAAAAAATTCATACTTCAGTGTAAGAGCATACATTTTTTGTAAAAAGAAAAAGTTTTCATCTCTCTTAGGTTAAGAGCTATTGATAGAAGAAATAAATTGCTTATATGTACGAACCACCCAATAAACGACGCTCAGACTTGCACGGAAGTCAAATTTTCATCTTTTTGGGAAAAAACGTTTGTATCTATCTTGTATATTATGTTCCTAAACAGAAAGGGCGTAGTCTTTTACTGTACGCATTTATTCATCCATATCCAAAATATGTGAAATAGCTGTTAGTAACGATTGTTATCATACTAAATATTGATAGATGAATAATGTTTGTTAATCATAGGAACGAAGTAATATTTGACTGTCCTTGTCTTCTTTACACATCACGCAAAGATCCGGTTTATTTCAGCAATAGCAACAGAGTTGAAGGGTAGCATCAGCAATAAGAAACGCAATGCGTTTCTTATTTCAGTTTACTTTTATGTCAGAAGTATTCCGACGCTGTAAGAACCTTCTCTTGTGGGCTTATCAACTCTTAAAGTAAAAGAGATAAGAAAATTATTAATTATTTAATTACCATTAACCAGTCAAACTTAATCAACAGGCCGCTGGTAGGTCATTATGGATGCAAATCAATAACGTTGTAAAGTTACAAGTTCAACTGAGAACTAGAGTGTGAGTTTACGTAGAAAATTCTTTGCAAAATTTATGTACTAAAAATAAGTCATCGATTAGTCGACAATCAATCAGCTGAGTTTTTTGAACCAACTTTGGAGCTCGTTTACGGGAGGGTTCGTAACATATAAGCGATTTATCTCTTTGGCGTGAAATATGAATAGCTCAAGACCTAAGAGAGATGAAACGTTTTCTTTTTACTAAAATGTGGCTAGCACTCACTCTACTCTATCTATGACGTGAATTTAATAAGTTGGCTGTTAGTAGTTAGTGAAATACAGCTATTAGACTCGAGGAGCGCTCTTTTTTTGTTGAAAATTCGAGGTCCTTTGCGGAAAATAGTTCATAACTCAGTGTAAGGCATCATTTTGACTTCAAATTCGCTTCAAAGACTCTAAAGTGTCTGTAAATTATCTAGCCAAAGTATGAAGGTTCAGTAGTGTTGGAAATTCATAGACAACGAATTTCCAGCACCCGCGATTGAAACATACGTAGAAAAGCGAGAGTGAGGAACTAAGCGTCACTCATTCTACTGTAGAATCTGCCTTCAGTGTGCATCTTAACTATGAAAGAGTAATCATCGAAAACTAACTATGGTTCCGAAAAACGGCCGTTACATTTTTGTAAAAAGAAAAAGTTTTCATCTCTCTTAGGTTAAGAGCTATTGATAGAAGAAATAAATTACTTATATGTACGAACCGCCCAATAAAGGACGCTCAAATTTGCACAGAAGTCGAATCTTCATCTTCTTGGGAAAAAAACGTTTGTATCTATCTTGTATATTATGTTCCTAAACAGAAAGGGCGTAGTCTTTTACTGCACGCANTTACTGTACGCATTTATTCATCCATATCCAAAATATGTGAAATAGCTGTTAGTAACGATGTTCTTATTCACAACGATTGTTATCATACTAAATATTGATAGATGAATAATGTTTGTTAGTTAAAACGTATTACGTTTCTTATTTCGGTTTATTCAATAAGAGCAAGAATAATCAGAAGTACTATTATACGCAGTGCTTTAGAAATGATATTAAATGTACAGTACTTCGGGAATGTAGAGAAATCCCTTTAACTCGATATAATATAAACAATGATGTAATGTAAACAATGATATCACAAGACGGTATGGTGCGAGAATGACTATGTGAGACATACATTTCCTGAAAAGGAAATGGTTCTTTTATATAACAACGCAACACTTTCAATGACGTTGGCTAGATAATCTAAAAATGAAAAAAGAGA